CATGTGACCACATGGTGGTATCAATTGCGGAGCAATCGGACCGGACCAGAGCTCCGGCCACACTTCTTTTGTTCCATTGTTCCTGTGGCCAAGTGGCCCTTGTTCTCCTTTTGGACTGCTTTGTTCTTTTCCTTATTGTTCTGCCGTGGGAATGCTTTCCCCTGCTCATGTATATATAGAGCTCTGTAGCGACCCTTTAATGAACACTTCTGTGACCCACTTCGACTTCAGCCCCACTTGTGGCATTCAGTCCTTCAGTGCTAGTCCTGTGCAACTGCTCCCTGCGTCGCCTTTTGATAACATCACCCTCAGCAAGTACAAGTGCCGCTTCAGCGAAATCAGAAAGTTCCGAGCTGGCGGACTTGATGGCACAGGTGAAGTCGATGCGCGAGGAGCTCGAGCATTATCGGGCAATGAAGGAGGAGGGTTTTTGATCCGGTCCGTGCTTTGTGCCGCACGTGTCGGGCCGGGTATATCTATCATGTAACAAGTATAACATATTGTCTTCTGCAATGGTGTACAAGTTGGACCATGGGTCCCAACATTTCCACATTCCAGTTCAACTTCAAGGAAAAAGACGGCATAAAGACATAATTGCCATGGTAGACAGTGGAGCCATCATGAAGTTTATCAACAAGCAGTTCATTGTAGAAAATAAGGTGCAGACACGGAAATTGAAAGAGCCGATTCCGCTATACAATATCGATGGCACCCTCAATAAAGATGGAAGCATCTCGAAAGTAGCTGTGCTACAGATGCAGATAGGAGAACACGTCGAAAAAACGGTGTTTATGGTCATGGACATCGGTCCAAAAGATGTGATCGTTGGGTTGGATTGGCTACGCGAGCACAACCCTGAGATCGATTGGGAGTCAGGCTCCCTAAAATTATTGCAATGCCCTGAAACGTGCAGTGCCAGGAGGACTGGCCAAATGGAGCAAGCAGCAACTATGCGTGATACGGGGGTCAGGCCCACAGTGCGCAGGCGTTCGCCGAAGTCCAAATGGTCGGTTATAGGCGCCTGCCGGAGTAAGGTACTTCTGGACTTTGAACCCGAAGAAGATCCAGTAGAAGTCGAGTAGGACGAAGCCAATTTGATCGAAGCCTGGGAGCAAGGTATCATACTTCCCGGTGCCCCTCAGCTGTTTGTCGCAGCAGGGCATACGTACTCCCAGCTGTTCGCTGAGGAGGAGATCAAGAAGAAGGTCGTTAAGACCGCCGAGGAGTCAGTGCCCAAACAGTACCACAAGTTCCTGAATGTCTTCTCCAAGGAAGTGTCAGAACGGCTACCCAAAAGGAAGCCTTACGATCACGCGATCGAACTTGTGCCCGGCTACTCGACATTCCATTTGAAGGTGTATCCCCTGTCAAACAACGAACAAGAGGAACTGGACAAGTTCCTAAAAGAGCAGTTGGCGAAAGGCTATATACGGGAATCAAAGTCGCCCATTTCGTCTCCCTTCTTCTTCATCAAAAAGAAGGAAGGGACACTTCGACCCGTACAGGACTACCGCTGATTGAACGCGATCACGGTCAAAAATCGTTATCCATTGCTGTTGATCGCTGAGATGGTGGATAAGCTCCGCGGCGCTATGCTCTTTACAAAGTCGATGTCCGATGGGGATACAACAACGTCCGGATCAAAGCCGGTGACGAATGGAAGGCGGTCTTTGTGACTAACCGAGGGTTGTACGAGCCTTTGGTGATGTTCTTCGGTCTTACCAACTCCCCTACGACCTTCCAGGCGATGATGAACGAGATCTTCCACAATCTCATCATCGGCGGTAAGATCCTCGTATACCTAGATGATATACTCATCTTCTCCACCAATAAAGAGGAGCATGAGAAGGTCACACGCGAGGTTCTACGCCGCCTTCAGGATAATGATCTGTTCCTGAAGCCTGAGAAGTGCGAATGGGATGTCCCCAAGGTCGACTACATCGGCTATGTGTTCGGTGGCGATGAGGTAGCGATGGATCCCGCGAAGTTAAAAGGAATCAATGAGTGGCCAGTACTCCGGAACAACAAAGATGTTCAGAATGAGTGGCCAGTACCCTGGAACAAAAAAGATATCAAGAGGCGACGCAGGGAGCAGTTGCACAGGACTAGCACTGAAGGACTGAATGCCACAAGTGGGGCTGAAGTCGAAGTGGGTCACAGAAGTGTAGATTAAAGGACACTACAGCAGGTCTTTATATACATGAGCAGGGGAAAGCATTCCCACGGCAGAACAATAGAGAAAAGAACAATAGAGTCCAAAAGGAGAACAAGGGCCACTTGGCCACAGGAACAATGGAACAAAAGAAGTGTGGCCGGAGCTCTGGTCCGGTCCGATTGCTCCGCAATTGATACAACCATGTGGTCACATGGTGTGGTGGCTCCCGCCACCGGGGGATCGTCCTAGGCCGACCAGGGGACTGTGGCAGAGCACATTGTGACAAAAGATGTTCAGAAGTTCCAGGGGTTCTCCAACTTCTACCGCCACTTCATTAAGGACTTCGCTAAGATCTCATGACCACTCGATCAGCTCACAGGGAATGACCCATGACATTGTGGAGAAGAGGAGCAATATGCCTTCAATGAGCTTAAACAACTATTTGTCACAACTCCAGTTTTGGCATTGTATAATCCTAATCGAGAAACACACATCAAGGTTGACGCCTCAGGCTATGCTACTGGCAGCATATTAATGCAGAAGCAGGACGACAGTAAATGGCATCCCATCGCCTTCCGGTCTCACGCTATGGACCCTGCCCAGCGTAACTTCGAGATCCATGATAAGAAGATGCTCGCAATCATCGAAGCACTGGATGATTGGCGCCACTACCTCGAGGGGTTATCCAATCAGTTCGAGATCGTAACCGATCATAAGAATCTCGAGTACTGGCGTACATCCCAGCACCTCACGCGCCGTCAAGCGCGATGGTCGCTGTTCCTAGCTCGCTTCGACTTCCGCATCACGCACAAGGCCGGGACGTCCAATGGAAAGGCTGATGCCCTGGCATGCCAATCAGATCATCAGGTTGGCAATAAGGACGATAACACCAATCAGGTGGTTCTCAGACCGGAAAGGTTCCGCATCGCCTCTGCCAGGCACAGTCATGCCTTGGTAATGGCTGATCAGACACTTCTGAAACACATCAGGGAATGCTCAGAGAAGGATCAGGTAGTGGCCGAGGCACTTGAACAGGTGCAGAACCTTGGGCTGCCCCGGCTACAAAGGGGTTTTGAGGAGTGGAATGCCAAACAAGGGCTTCTGCTGTTCTGCAAATGCGTGTACGTCCCAAAGAACACTGAGCTCTGGCAGGATATAGTCAAGATCACCACGACTCGCCGATCGCCGGTCACGGCAGTCGTGCCAAAACCCTGGAGCTCGTGTTACGGAATTACTGGTGGCCTGGGATGTCCAAATTTGTCAATGAGTACGTCAGCACCTGCGATGTGTGCAACCGTACCAAGACATTCCCAGCTAAACCCCAGGGTCCGCTGAAGCCGAATGAGATCCCCGAGCGCCTGTGGCAGATCATCACGACCGATATGATCATTGGCTTGCCAAAGTCTGATGGATTCAACTCAATCCTGGTCACCGCCGACCGCTTTATCAAGCAGGTCCACTTTTCAGCCTGTCATGAGACCCTGACGGCAGAAGAGGCAGCAGACCTGTACATCCGCGATGTGTTCATGCATCATGGGGCCCCGGCCAAGGTCATATCAGACCGAGGTCCCCAGTTTGCTTCGAAATACCTGCATGCGGTGTACAAGGGACTAGGGATCGAGCCGGCACTGTTTACAGCATTCCACCCTCAGACGGACGGCCAGACTGAGCGCT